TGCGTTTTTATGAATAAAAATGTGACAAACTATTTATCGTTTTATGACAAGTAAAATTTTCTCGTCGTGTTCTCGGCTTTTAAGTAATGCGTAACTTTCGAAGCCCGAGGCGTAGGTTGTGGCCTACGTTGCCCATGCCTTACGCTGCTTTTGGTTATAGGAATGATGTAATTTGAGTATAAATTATTTATAAATACGTATGTCAAGTTATATTTTTATTACGACGTAAAATATATTTAAAAGTTTACGACCACTGCGTGAGACGTTGTTGGAACTAATAAAGTTATGCGTTCCATCACGTACATAAACGGTGTCGTAATTCGCCAAATGAAAATCAGCAAATTTGTAAAATTTTTGTCTATTTTGAACAATCCGTATAATCGAAAATTCGGATAATAGGGGTCCGGATACTCGAGGTTCTATTGTATATGTAACAGCTGGATTGTTAATTTTGCTGCTTTAAAATGAATCCAACCATTTGATTAAATGGTGCCATTTTATAAAATGGTTGATAACTAACGTTCAGTCATTTTACAAACAAGCTAAACTAAAACTTACCGAATTGAATAATATTTCATGTTTTGCAATGCAATTGGCCTTAGGCGCTTTACAATGTGGCTTTGCATAAACCAGCAGATTGTCATATTTTCTTCAGATTCTTACCACTGAAGTACCAACAGATATTCACCAATATGGCATCATCTAGTATGTCTGTTCCACTAAAAATAGTGGATATTACAAGAAATAATAAAAGCGTGCAAAATGCGCCTGAATATAATGGGTTTAAAGATAATATCAACAAACAACTAATGAGGTTCTAAGGAAAATGACATGGAAATTTAAAGAAATGTGGAGTTTGAGGACTTGGTGTTGTCGACACCACTGTAAGCACCAGTTGTGGGTCTGCGAGGTAATAAGGTGTCGACCTTTCAGTCAAAGGTAAACACGCTCGCTTTTCTCGTGATCTGTCAGGATGACACGAGAAAGCCCTTTTCGTATGGATTAGTGGTTTGCAGGACGCAAAGAGACACGCAGAGACCGTAAATCCACAATTAACGCGTTTATTTGTTACTAAAACATGCATACAGATACGAGGAGTACACAGTCCAACTGTAGACAAGTTGCACACTCGATGGAGGATCTTTCCGAATTTTGTCGATTCTGTGGAGGAGGAAGTGGCGGCTGGGCTCACGATGTGTACGAAGTTTTAGTTAGTCTGGATACAGGGGGACATAGTCCTTGCATTCTTTGAAATAAGATTTACTATAATGTAATAATCTTAATTTACGCTATCGTTACTTTTTGCCGGGCCTATCTGCTAGTAAATTTTAAAATGTTATTATATATTATTTTAGAATTTATTAAAACATATAACATATATTAAATATTTAAAATAATAATTATAATAAATTATTATATAAATATATAAAATTATTTTTATATATTTATTAAAATATATTTTAAGAGGTTAGCGGTTCATTTCTTTAGATTCAGCCATTTGCTCTGGACGACGATGAATCACTGACTCAGTCTATTAGTCAGAACAACTAATTTTATATATTTTAATAAGTATATAAAATTAGGGAGAGTGGGAGAGGAATAGCATTAAGGCTTAACCGGAAAAACGGCTTTTACTGTACTATTTAAGATGGGATATTTTGTTTGCAACTACGTTTAGTCTTTATTAAGTACTTAGGTGTATTGCATTTATAACATTTCAGACATTCATATAAATATATTTACATATTTCGAGTTTTTGACCAAATTCGATTTCTCTTTCCAAGACGCTGAGAAAGTTATTGTCCACCGGATGAAAATACGGATCGGAGCTTCCTCCGATTTAATAGCAACGTCTGTTGTGAAAACGATTGATGCTGGCTTAAAGGGCGAACTCTTTCGCCGGTGAATCCCACGGACGGGCGTCGAGAACTAAATAAAAGAATTAACGACGCGTAACGAGTAAATATAATTAGTAAAATGGCCTACCGTTTCCGTAGATCCAGTCGTTGTTCAGGCGATGACGGACTTTCTGATATATGGCAGACATGGTCTTCGTGTGAATTTTCTGCCACTGTCTACCCAGGTACTTGGTCTGCATCTTAAGTAATTTTAAGACGTACAGTTGCGTCATAGAGAGTTTTACTTTTAGCGCTCTCTTTACAATGGAGGCCGACTCGAACACTGCCAACATCTTAAACGGAAAATAAGGTAGCGCCGTTAAATCCGGCATTTCGTATTGAATTAATAGAAAGACCGCGCGCTCCTCTCATTATCCTAGAATGCTTCTATTCGGTCAGTTTGAAAAAAACACTCAACAGGTTAACACAGGAAAAGAGATTTTTCCAACAGTACGGACGTTGTTCTCCGATTTCCTGAAAAAACCGAAAACGTTAACGGGCACCGTAGAATTAAACGGGCGAGACGTTAAACCATCTCTCACCAGCATTTCGGCCGTCAGTTCCAGTTGTTCTACCACGACGCAGGCAAAAAAGTCGATGACCGAAATCGTGAAAAATCGAAAAGAAAATTGTGTGCCGAGTTCCGAAGAGATAAAATCAATGGGATTTACATACAATATTTTTGGCTCCTACGTAGGATATGATGTTTTGATTTAAAAATTGCAATACGAGTGAAATGCAAATGGCAAACACCAACTGTTGGCTCGTGTATTCGAACTGGTAAATGTTTTGTAATGTTTTAATAAAAGCAGCGTAATTCTCGACACAGTCTTGACGATCATTTCCTTGTGCCGATTGACGTCGATCCCCAATTTCGTGGATTGTAAAACCGTCATGCTGAAACCATATTTAATTTAATATATTTCCCACTAATAACCGCTGGAAAATTTTTAACAATCACTTATTACTGTACAATTCAATCGCGTACTCTACTAAAACGCAGTTAAAAACAAAAAATCGAATCTAAAATAGTACAGTAGAAGCAGTTCTTCCGGTTAAGCCTTAATGGTCTCTCTCTCCCTCTGCAAAAAAATTTCGAAAAATCCGTTCTTAGTGTTAGTTTCCATGACGTTTTCTAACTGTGTACCAAATTTCACCTCTTTAGGTTCAGCGGTTTGTTCTGGGCGATGATGAGACAGTGACTTAGTCAGTCAGTCAGGACAAGTAATTTTATATATTGAGATAAAAATTCTGATTTCTTGTATATAGTATTGTTTCAATTATCGTTTTTAAACGAATTTCTTTAGTATGCAGTTTTTTGCGCTCCACATCAGGCAGGCAAGTGCTATGTGCAACCTGTGGCAGTATTGGCGTAATGGCGTATCTATTTCGTGCTATATCATCGCGGTAGTAATTCAGTGAATATAATATGTATATGTGTGTGTAGAAATAAATATAAAAGTATAACGTTTAACAAAAGTAAATACTTCGCCTTCGTTATTATTCTGTGTTAAATCACAAGTACAAAGGCGATATGCCGCCGCTATAAAATGTAAATATGGTCGGAAAGAAAACGTCCATTGATGCTATTGCCATGAAAACTAAAGAACAAGCGCTTCCGTACTTGTAATTTTTACCGATTGTCTCTGGACAGAATAATAACAAAAGCGAAGTATTTACTTTCGTTAATCGTTATATTTTTATATTTATTTCTACAATTAAATATAATTCCATCGGCCATTATCTTTTACTAATTTTTACTAAAAATAATATATATATGTTACTGTGAAAGCCCGTATATTGGTAAATCCTAGGTTTTACTTGTAAATCCGAAGATTTACAAGTAAAACCTTAATTAGGATTTTCAAGTAAAATCAAATTAGAAGCTCTTCTTAATACCATTCTTGATTCCTTTCGTCTAGCGATTTCCTTTATAACACTATTCATACTACTATTATAAGTAAATTTCGTGAGCCTAGTAAAAACATTTCTTAAAGTTGCTAGACGAAAGGAATCAAGAATGGTATTAAGAAGAGCCCCTAATTTGTATAAGATCTTGAGAAACGATAAGGATAATATCAGAGCGGAGGAGAGAGCAGGGGTGTATAAGATTCCTTATGAAAACTTACAACTGGACGTTAAAAAAGATTATATCGGCGTCACCACCAGAAACTTGGGAGTAAGGCTCAAAGAACATAGATATGCCATAAGAAAAGCGTCTAATTCAACGGTTTTGTCCCAAATGGCGCAAACACAAGGATCTGAGGTAAAATGGGACGAGGCAACAATCATCAAACCTCTGTCTTCCCCAACTCTAGCAATGACGGCAGAAAAAATAGAAATATACAGAAGTAAGATAAGAGAAGGCTGTTTAAATGCGAGGGATTCCGAGAGCCTACCTTCGGCATGGAAATATTTGGTTAAGAAATTTACTACAAACTCCGACCAGAATTAATACATTGAAGATTTATGTTATTTTTGTTTTATTGTTTTATTTTAATTTTTAAATATTCTTCCGTTATTTTTTTTTTCTTTTGTAAAATTTTTTATTTAAATTTTTATGTTCTATTTATGGAACATTTACGTTCCATTTTAGTTTTCAACCTGAAGATGGCCTATTAATTAGGCTAAAAACGTTTGTTGTTCAAAATTATGTTTATTTCTCGGCAAAAAAGGTGTTTTGTTTCTCTTTATTTAGTTGCTTTTGATATTGAAAATGTTTGTTTTGGAAATAAAACTATGAGCATTTTCATAATCATTTATTGCAACTATTATAAACTTACTATGTCCTATTTATTGATAACTAGTTTAACAGTTTAAAAATACTTTTTAACGTAACATAAATTATATTATTATGTAAAAAATAGTAAATAGTTATCTTGTAAATTATCATTGCATTTAGAATTATAAAGTAGTCCTGATGACTTGCAAGCGCACTTCTTTGTTAAGCAATTTTTTAAGCAGTTGCACTTCTTGAAATCTTGTTTTCCAGTCAAAGACAATTCTGCGACGACTTCTCGAAGACTCACTTCTGTACCTTTAATTTAACCCTTTCTGACTCATTTTAACAATGCTTTCTTTATTGTCCCGTTTGATTGCATTTTAGACATCATTATTTTGTTTCATATTGTCATGCGAATGCAACAATTTCTCTAAATCTTGATCATATTTTATAACTCTAATCATATCACTAGGGATTGCTGAAGTTGCAAGGCCCATTTTCATTGGACAACCAAACATTGCTTTGTAGGGGGAACATTTGATTCCCTCGTGATATGCTCTATTTTTCATTGCCTGAATAAATCTTAAACCATCTGACCACTTTGATATCTGATTGGTTTCCATCCACGTACTGAACATATTTTCTATGTCTTGATTAGCATGCTTTACTGATACTTGACTTTGGCTATGTCTTGCCTTTCCATGTACGATTTTTACATCCAGCCCCATAGAGCATAAACTCTCAATAACTTGGTTAGAGAATTTTCGACCATTATCGGAATGAAGGATGCTCGGCGCTCCAAAAATGGTGAAAATATCCAAACGATGGTATGCAACTTCTACGGTGCGTTTAGTTTGAAGCGCACGATAGATCACAGATTTGGTAAGATGGTCTTGGTAAACTAAAATAAATTTATTTCGATCTGGGGTAGTTTGTAGATCTATTAGATCAACCTGACAGCGTGAATTCATTTCACTGTGAAGTATAGGTCTGACAACAATGCCCTTTTTCAAAATCTGTTTCTTTTGGAAAGGTTGACATAGCTTCAAATATGTCATAGTAGCCTCAACTGTTACATTTTTATACTTGCGGTTACATTCCTTAAGCATCCGTGTGCTTCCACCGTGGCCAACAGCAACACGCGTTTCTTCGAGAATATTGAATAAATCCTCGTAACAAATGTAATACCTTATTTCTCCATCCTCCTTCTTCATAGGTGCAATTAGTTTTTCTATAGTCAAAATGTCGTAACGCTTTATACGCCTGTAATGAACAGCTTGTTTCATTTTCATGTTCTTCGCAGCTTTTACTTCCTCCAAACACTTTGCGTATTTGTCCCTATTAAGTGAAAGCTATTATGTTTCTTGCTTGCAACGAGCTCGTCCATTATTTCATAAAATCTCCGTTTCATACTCATCTTNAAAATCTACATATTTGTAGCTGATGCAGGAAATGACAAAGTAACTCCAAGCATTTAACTTTTTTGCTCGAGTATTGTTAGCATCACATCTTATTAATTGTGACTAATGTATTTGTTTGGTAATTGTATTTGTTTATTTTATCTTATAAATACTTGTAATTTGTGCATACGAGAACATGCAATTTTTTGAATTTATGGTGAACCATGAGTTATTTCCTGGATTGCTTTATTTAATGTATAGAAAATACAATGTTTCTTGTCCTAATATCACAGGTCTGCAAAAAAATTTTTTCCAGCTGCATTAGACATTTTTGCTGAATTATATTGTGACCCTTTGGGTTGGCACCTCTTTGGTACCCTGTCAGGATTGACACCACCGTGTTTCTCGAAACACGGAAACCGAGACGGCGATTACACCATGCCATCGAGCGAGCGGTCCTGTACATGATCAGACGGATTCGTAATGTCGATTCGAGAGACAACATTGGAAGTGACTCAGATACACTTAACAATTAACAAGGGTTTATTTAAAAATCTATTGGAAAAAGGGTTGTCGCGGAGAGAGAGAGTTCACATACGATTCGCGGGATGATAAATACCTTTGGTAATAGGTCCCGGTCGGGTCTTGTTGAATCGGAGAATAAGAGCTTCAGTTATGGGGTTTTCAGGATGTATCCAGTTCTGATGGGTATTTTTCGTTATCCAGGCGATGCACTAACACACACACACACACACACACACAAGTTTATCCTATGGCGATTAATTCGGATTCCTTAATGGATGATAATTGAAGGGAGGACGACTTCTTTCCTCTCCGAGGACTAAGGCAGCGACTAACTCTTTTCGGCCGTCTCTGATGATATTCACGGACGATTTCGGCCGTGCAGAGGTTAATAGTTCACGAGAAAGCGTCATGTTGCTTTCGAGAAAATGTAACGGGAGACTTTCTCAGGTAGCTAAGAACAACAATTGTTGCGTAATTCGCGAAACGTTATTATTAAAGATTATTTCAAATATAAGACTTTTTGCTATCTCACATCACTCCGGCCTTTTGAAAATCGAGCTTGTTCGTGAAAGTGCAAGTTCGATTTTAGATTGTGATATAAGAACATTGAAAAGTTGGACTTTTACTCTCTCTCTTTTTTTTTTTTTCTATTTACATAATAGTAATGGGAGTACATAGGTTATTATTTATATAAATTTAGTTTACAAATTTAGGTTACTCTCTCTCTCTTTATTTATGTTACGCGGTTAAAATAAAACACTCGGACACGTGGTTAAAGGTAAATATAAATGTTGTTTTAATAAAAATAAATTTAGGTTACAAAAAAAGAGAAATTGGTTATATAATACGAATAATATTTATGACATGGTTATAATATTTTGTATAGGAATATAAACGATTTATAGGTGAAAAGATGAAGAAAAGTTATGAGGTGGAATTTCTAGGATGGGATTGGTGGTGAGGATGGGAAGTGGAGCGGGAGGAAGGAAAACGAAAGATAGGAGTACGAGAGGCATGTGATATCATTTCCGGAGGACTACTAGTAGTAGTAGTAGCTTCTATAGAATTAAGGGATTCATTAGATCCGATGAAGTCTGGTTCTGGTCGATGATGGCGATTGGCGTCTCGGTACTCTTGTTCTAGTTGAGGTGGCGCAGAATATCCAATTGGAAGAATTATTGTAACTGGAAGAAGGGATCTTGATCGCTGAGAACGAGCGAAACGAATGGCTGCTCGAAGAGTTTCGGCGTTGATTTCTTGGGTTATGGCAGATTCTTGATTGGTTTGGGAAATGCTGGGATCGTTATTATTATCCATCTACGGTGGAAATGTTCAGAATGAATTTAAAGCTATTAGAACTTTCGAAAAATTGTAAAAGCTCGAAAGGAATTGCAAGAGAGGGTGTAGAAGGATTTGTAAATGTTGGAGGAATTCCGTATTTCTCATGGATAACTGAGGTCCAACGGAGAGTATGATCTCCTTTTTTGAATTTGAGGTTGTAGATAAATTTAGCATGGGAAATAGGATTGTCTAGAAACTGAACGGTGAGTATAAAAGATGGGTTTATAGGAGAACTTTTTGTAATGGTGATGAGAAATTGGTGAAGATGGCATCCTCACTGAAATACAGCAACAAGCAGAATCGGAAAGAGGAGACAAAGAAGACGTAACTACTGAGGAGGAAACGAGATAACCTGAACTAACTCCTTCACCTCGTTATGCCTTAAGAAGTCAAGGACCCGTGGAGGAACAACCTTGGATTCTTCCCACTCCTCGACGAAGTCGAATTTCTAAACGAAAGGCTAGCCCACCTAAAAATGGACTTAACACTCAATCAAAAATAACGAAACAAGGGACTTAACGTAAGAAACAAAAATCCATGACCCCAAGGCTCCTTCCTTATCTAACGTTTTAAAATAAACTTGATAAAAAAGACTTGAAAATAACTTGATATAGTCCCTCTCTACATCTCTTTAATCACTTCAATTTTTTTTCTCCTCCAGAATATCATCATCCACTATGCACTTAACTTTTCTACTCCAATTTGCCTTCTTCACCTCGGGGATCTCCACTCTCCATATCAACCCACGAGAGGACCCTCATAATCTCCACAAAGGTGTTGTCTTTGTACACCAGGGAAATTTCTTTATGACTACCAATTACTGGATTCTTGTTTTGGATATATCTTTTGATCCTTACGAAGAACAATTACACCTTTTAAAGCGACATATTCAATTGTTAATCTCATTAGTACAGCGAATGCGCTCTTCATCTCAAGATAACCCTACCGCTCCACGATGGTCTCTATCTATTGATGAACTAACCTTCCTACAGACCACTTTAACAGGATATGAATCGGATTACCCGGAATTACAAACATTAGTAACCCTTACTAACGTTACTCGAGAAAAAAAAGGCTTAATAAATGCTGGAGCAAAATCCTCAAATATCTATTTGGAACAGCCACCTCGGAAGATATTGAAAGTCTCAACGAAAAAATAGCGCAATTATCCGAAACAAATATGGAATTTACTCACTTTCTCCAGTCTCAAGCTACTTTACTCAATGATACCTTACGAATCGCCAAGACAAACCGAAACCAAATTTATACTTTGATAAAAAAGCAAATCCTCATCGAAGAAACATTAATCCAACACCAATATCATTTAGCAGTGGAATCAGCAGTTCGATCTACCGAGTTCTCCATCAGAGAATTTCGAACTCTAATACTTGAGATCCGAAATGCCATCGAAACCTTGGAACAAGGCCGACTTAGCACTTATTTTCTCCCCAAAGAAGTGTTATTGAACACCCTCAAAGAGATACAATTACATTTACCCGAAGGATATTCCTTCTTGGAAACACCCCGACTTGAAACCATCTTCAAATATTACCAATGGACATCTATTACAGCCATAGCCTTACCAAAAATACTCCGCATTTTCGCCAAAATACCTCTCATTACTCCCACAGGATATTTTGATATCTACGAAATTGTGAGACTACCTGTATATTATCCCACTATACAATCCTTTGTTTATTATAACAATTCTTATCCAATTATTGCTTTGTCAAGAAATCGTCAATCTTATATGTTATTATCGTATCATGAATTAATGAAATGTCAAACGACTCCTGTAGCCATGTGCTCACCCAGCGTACCTATCTGGCAATCGCCAAGACAGAGCTGCGAATATTCCTTATACTTGGGAAATGAAAAATTTATTAATCAATTATGTCCTCGACGATTAATTAGGGCTTATTCTCCTATTTTCCGACGTATAGATAACCAAGGAACTTGGACTTATTCCATTCCTACTCCTATGAGCCTAACCATTAGATGTCCCTCCAACGGCAAGAAAAATCCTCCAATTACCATCTCTAAAATAAACAATACGGGTATAATAATACTTCCTGGAACTTGTGTCGGATATCTTCCCGGAATTATTTTAACCTCGCACTTTCAAAGAAAAACTGCAATCCATCTCGAAACTACGAACCATTTTATCATTCCTCCTATCGAGAATATTATCAATGAAACAGAATTAAAAATCATCAAAACTCGACTAACACAACCTCAACTTCCCATTTTAACCTCCGAGATGCAAACAGATGCAGAGATCTTACGAGCCGACAAATCACTAACCAAAATGGAACTCGATCTGGAACAGCTTCTTACGGCTCAACCAAATTATAAAACCTCTTCCCGAGTCTCTACCCCTACCACCATTTTTATCGTGTCAGCCTTCATCGCTGTTCTTGGGATAGGAAGTATCCTCAGTGTTATTTATTTACGACTACGTTACCCTCGACCGCAACTCCGCCGCATCAGACCCACCATAGAACTGGTCCCACGTGCATCCGATTTAATCACACGAAATTCCGAATTATCTCTCCTTCCTTCGGGAGACTGCACACCCATTCTTATGTAAACAACACCTGCTATAACCATATCTTTAATATTAAGATATAATTACCCTTTTAACATTATATACCATTTTTTGCATCTTCTTCCTTTCTTCTTTACAGTCTATTCCCTGCTGCATACACTCATCACAATGGACCCTTCTTTGGACGCCTTATTTAATTGCCCTATATGCTATAACCGCTTAAAAGCATTAGTCTACCAGTGCAGTAATGGGCATGTTGTCTGTCCCGATTGTAGACCCCGAATTTCCCAATGTCACACATGTAGAGAATCGCTAGGATACATACGAAACCTTCTTACCGAACAAATTCTTCGCACGATGCAATCCCCTTGTGCTTTCCACTCCTTTGGATGTACCGAAGTACTCCCCGAGGACAGCCGCGTTTTTTATTTTTAGCCTCGATCCTAGCAATTCGGCAGCATCTTTTGAAAGACCCAAG